CAGCACCCACATGGTGGCTACAAACCATCCTTAACTCCAGTTCCAGGGGAATCTGAAGCCCTCTTCTGACCTGAGGCATTACATGATGTGGGTGCACTCACATACATGCAGGAAATACACTCATACACATTAAATAAAAATAATAAATAAAAATATTAAAAAAAAACCAAAAACATGAACAGCAACAAAAATATTTAAAGAGAGGGAAACAAAACCCAAGTGTAGTGGTGCATGCTTGTAATCTCTGTCACACTGGGGAGGCTAAAGCAGAAGTATGGTGAATTTGAGGCTAGTCTAGGCTACATAGTGAGACCTTATCTCAAAAATCAAAACAAGGAGAGTTGGTGAGATAGTTCAGTGCAGAAAGGAGCTTGCCGTACAAGCCTGGTGACCTAAGTTTGATCCCCAGAACCCACGTAAAAATAGGAGAGAACTGACTCAACAAAGTTGTCTTCTGACGCCACACACATGCCATGGCACACACCCACACACATCCTTCATATACACATACAATAAAAGTAAAATATTTTTTAAAGAGCGAGAGAAAAGAAAAGAAGGAGGAGGAACAGAGAAGAAGGAAGACAAAACTGACATTCAGAGAGGGCAAGGGCAGGAATATCCAGAGACAACTGAGAAGCAGAGATGCCAGGCTCTCACCCCAGAACAGCACATTAGGGCCTCTGCCTTCACTGGCTCTGTTCTTGTTCCACTCTGTCACACACTGTTTTCTAGTTTCATTGCCATCCTGTTTCTCAAGCAGGCCAAGTTTTTACCTGTTCAGAGTTGTGATATTTGCTGTTCTGCCTGGATGGGATGCCTTTCCTTATTCTTGACAGAGCCAACTTCTTGCCCCATCTAAAATGTCAGCTCCTCTGAGAGAACTTCCTTGATTGCTGCTGCCGCTCTCCCCTCTTCCCCCTCCTCCCACTGCTCCTCTTCCTTATTCCCTCTTCTTCCAGACTGGGTTTACTAGCCCAAGCTGGCCTAGAACTCATGGCAATCCTCCAGCCTCAGTCTTCTGAATGTTGGGATTGTAGGAGTGAGCCACCACACCTGACTCTGTTCCATCTTAAAGCTCCTCTTCATATCACAGGTACAAATTGTCTTCCCTTATATTTGCTTCCTTTTTAACTCTTCAGCTTCTGTTAAAATATGAGTTCCCGAGGGCAGGAACTTGTCAGTCTTCTTCACCACTGTATCTCTAGTATCTAAAACTCCCCATGGACCGAGTGCTCAATATTGGCTGTACAAATGGTCATGTGAAACTGAGTAGTCATATCTGGGGACTATTAATCCAAACATGGTTAAGTAGGATGCCACAAGAGTGCCCACTTGACAGTCAAAGAGGTATGAGATAATTTGGAGAGCACATAGTAGGTACTAAATAAATAGCTGTTAAATAAGTGACTGATGCAAAAGCACTTATTGAGGTACTCCATCAAACACCTGATCTCACTTGGGGGTGTATTTCAATTGGTAGAGTGCTTGTCTAGCATGCATGAGTTCAATCCCCAAAACCATATAAACCAGGCATGATGCATACCTATAGTCCCAGCACTTAGAAAGTAGAGGCAGGAAGATCAGAAGGCCAGATGGGCCACATGAGATGTTGTCTACAAAACAAACCACTCTGACTTCTACTCACTTGTTTAGCACTTGCTGGGTTGCGCACAGATGGACAAGTCCTATAAGAATAGTTTAGCACCTTTCCTTTCTGATGGTGCCAGATTCTTTGCCCCTGGGACATCTCTGCTGTCCACCTCTGTGCAGTACAACATCTATGTTCCAAGGGTCCTCTAAGAACACTTGGAAGAATCTTCAGGGACGCTGACACCTGAATGAAATGACTTTGCCTATCTGGCCCTTATCAATGACCACAATCCATCTTCTGCTGTCAACAGAGCTAATGAATATATAGTCAATAGGGCTTGCATAGTTTAATTAGCCTCTCTTATTACTTCTGGGGAGTCTTAGATGACTCCAAAGTTCTGGGAGATGGAATCTGAGGAAGTGACAGGGAAAACAAACAAAGGAAATGAAAAAGAGAGATGGAGAGATGGGCTGGAGAGATGGCTCAACAGTTAAGACACTTGCTGCTCTTATAGAGGACCTGGGTTCACTTCTTACTGAGGACCTGGATTTGGTTCCCAGCACCCACATGGCAGCTAACAATGATCTGTAACTCCAGTTCCAGGGGATTCAATGCCTTCTTCTGGCCTCTTAGGGCACTGCATACACCTGGTGCACTTACATACGCAGGCAAAACAGTCACACACATAAATTTTGTGTGTGGGGGGCATGGTGGCACACACCTTTAATCCCAGCACTCAGGAGGCAGAGGCAGGCGGATCTCTGTCTATGAGTTCAAGGCCAGCCTGGTCTACATACTGAGTTCCAGGACAGCTGGGGCTACAAAAGACCAAAAAAAAAGGAGAGAAAGCAAGGCATTTCTCTCCCGTCTCTCTCTTCATGATGAATCAACTCTTTCCTGCTCCTTTCTGGCTCCCCAGGTCTTAAACCTGGAGAGATAGTGTATAATTGAAATTGAAAATATTTATTCCTTTTGTTTTGTTTTTGAGACAGGGTCTTATTCTATATATAACCCAGGCTCTTGCCTCAGACTCTCAAGTGCTGGGTTACAGTCATGAGCCACCACACCCTGCTCTGGAATGGACTTTTGAATTAGGCACAGGTTAGAATCTTAGCTCTTAAATGAATCATTTTACCTCCCTGAACTTTGTTTTTTTTTAAACTGAGGGCCAAACTCAGGGCCTCAAGGCCTCAAGCATGTCAGGTAAGCTTTCTACTACTTTCTACTATTCAGTTCAACTTTATCACTAAAATGGGTACCTAATCAATCACAGAGTGCATTTTAAGATTATATAAGCTGCTGGGCGTGATGGCCCACACCTGTGGTCCCAGCACTTGGGAGGCAGAGGCAGGCAGATCTCTGTAAGTTGAAGGCCAGCCTGGTTTACATAGTGAGCTCCAGACCAGCTGGGGTTACAGGGAGACCCTGTTTCAAAAAGACCAAAAAAAAATTATATAAGCATTATATATTTTAAACTGCATGGTATACAGAATAAGAATTCAATGAATACTAGCTATTATTAAGTAAGGTAGTAACTACATAGAAAACCACCAGAAATACATTAGAACAGGAGGCTGAAGCAGGAAGATGGAATGTTTAAAGCCTACCTGGGCTACAGAATGAGTTTAAAGCCTGCCTGGGCAACTTTGGTGAAAACTTGTCCTCACAAAAAAAGGTGAGAAAAAAGAGAAACAGATCTAGGTATTAGAAAAAAATGATGCTTTTGAGCCAGTAAGTCACAAGTTGTAGGAACTTCTAGCAGTAGTGAAGCCCTGTTTTTATATATGTCAGATACATACACCCTCTGCCCTCTTTACATATGTCAGGTACAGACATGTAACAGCATCAGAATCATGAACTTTGCCTCTGGGAAAACGAGGAGGTGGCTAGAAATTATATAGTTAGGGTCCAAAGACATCCTTGGGCAGGAACCTTGGACATGAGGGCTCCAGGGATCTAGTCAGTTGTCCTGACTTCTGTCACTAAAAGTTTGACTCCAGGAGTTGATGGGCAATAAACTGCAGGCTCCTGAGACCTTAAAGACCTGGAAGAAGTCCAGTGTTGTCCTTCAGCTCCATCCCAACCCCGAGGCTATAACCTGGGCTAGTCCAGACGAATGCAGGGCTGGCAGGGTGGGGTCTGCTGCCCAACCGCCAGCTAATTGTGACTCACCCTTCCTTTCCCTCTGGTTTCCCGACTCACCTCTACCAACTTAGGGTAAGGAAGAAAGATATTGACTTGGAGAGAAAGAATCCTACATTTTCAGAGCTCATATTTGACAAAGGAGGAAACTGAGGCCCAGAGAGACAGCAATGCTCAGGATCATAGCCACACTCTAGACAGCCAATCTGTAGTACATTCCACCAAGTCTTAGTGTCTCTCATTGTCTAGATCTAATTTTAAACATCCCAAACAAAAATGGCTGTTAACAAAGAGATAAATATTTCCACAGCTGGCACTGATATTTAAAGTTTCCTTTGCACTTTATTGCTCACTTCCAAGCTGGCCATCAATCAGGAATTAGCTATGTCTCTAGGACATCTGGGCTGTCCTAGCAAGGGGCAAGCACTCCTAATTTTAATGCTGAGCCTCTTAACCATTATCAGGGACCCAGAACTGAGAGAGGGTCATTTCCCCCTCTCCACCCTTGCTATTACTCAGTGATCCTAGAGGGAATTTTTTTTTCTGGCTTGAAGCATTAAAATTCATAAAGACACCATAAACATCGCAGATGATTGTGTTGCTTGGATAAGGGGGTGCACGTTTTGTGTTCGTGTGTGTGTGTGTGTGTGTGTGTGTGTGTAGGATGTTGCTCGCTGCGTAGTACAGAGGAAGTTACGATGTTGGCATGGTTGGGGGTTGTGGGTTTGTATTTTCTGAGGCTGCAGAGATGTCCAATAATATTTGCATTTCTTCCTCAGTGCTGTTCACGTCTACGAATTAAAGCTCAAAAGCCGAATTCAGACCCAGATCTTTTCAGAAACTTCCCTGTGACAGGTGTGGAAAGGATGGGGACCCGGAGGCCAAACGAGAGAGAACCCTTCTTCCTGGGTGCCGCGCTGTTGGGGTTCCATAAGGGACTTTCTTCCGAGTCCTGTCCCCAGGAACTGAGCTTCCCCATCGTTCCGAGCTAGCCAGCCGGCTGGAGGCGGAGGTCGGGAAAGGCTGCCGGGTCGGCCCAGCCCTCCCAGCCCTCCCGCAGCCGTGTCCCAGCGCACACCCGAGCCCCGCTCCGGCTGTCAGGCTTCCTCCCGGAACCTCCCGATCCTCCCTGCCCGGCACCCTCCCCCGCCCGCGGGGCGGCCCTCGGCTCGCAGGGCGCTCGCAGAGTCTCTACCTTGCCCAAGGAGGGGAGCGCCGGCGTTGGAGCTGGAGCCCGGGAGGGCTGGAGGGGACGGGCCAGGCGGCCGAGGCCGCCCAGCTCCTGACGACACAGCCGCCCGCCCCCCACCCAGTCCGGCGGGGCCGAGCCCGGGACCACCGCAACGCCGGGCTTGGAGGCCGGTGTGGTCAGGTTCCCAGTACGACCTGCTCCCCCTCGGTCTGCAGGTCTCCAGGGCTCTGGTGGTGCACTTTCCCCACTTCTTGCGCTCCGCGTCTTCCCGCGTATTGGGCAGCTCCACTTGTTTTCCCCTTCTTTCTAATCGCTCAAGCTTTCCCCCTCACCCCTAACCTGCTGGGCCGTGCTGGTAACAGTCTGGCAACTGGATGGCTCTCCCTCTCCATATGGCCAGCTAGGACTTCCCTGCCCAACTCCATGACTCCACAGTCAGGAGAACCCAGAGGGGCAAGGCCAGAGTGCCACACTTCATACCCTGAGACTAGACGCATCTCCCTCTCCACTTGGCTCCACACTGTGCCTCACACTCTGCTGGCCTCTCCTCCGGGTTCCTCAACTCCCCTTCAGACCCCAGTCTTGCACACCTCTTTCTCTCACGACTCGTCCTTTCCTTAAGTTCAGGGTGGAGGTTTGGACGCAAAGAGCACTGTACTCTGTGCTCACCTTTTCTCCATGTCCCAACCCTCCCATTTTACCCTCTGACCTTGACGGATGATGCAGAAGGCCCTGGGCAAAGAGAACTAATGAAAGGAGATCCTTGAGCTTCTCCTACCTGCAGTCTGTTCTGGAGTTGTCAGGGCTCTTGGGGCAGCATGGATGGTTGTGAGGCTGGTAGAGCAAAGGAGAAAAGACGAAGGCCTAGGGATTTACTGGTAGCAACTGGGGACCTTGCAAGCATCCTGCTCCCTGGCCCCGCCCCAACCCCTGACCAACCCCCTCCTACCCTTCATTGAAGTAGGGCAGAGTAACAAAACCGTAAGTTCCTGGAATTGCCCCTCTTACACCTGGGAAGGGAAAGGAGGGGGAGGAGAGACTTATGGTTGGAAGTGTACACACACACACACACACACACACACACACACACACACACCATATATGGTTTTTTTTGGGGGGGGAGGGGGAGGGTCAGAGAGGAAAAAAGAATGAATACATTTGGCCCTCTAGTGGAAACAGAGACCTAAGCACTTCTCAAATATTTCAAGACAAGTTTGTTGAAGCAACTCCCAGCAGAGTAATGTGGTTCGGTAGTAGTATTATTATTGTAGCTAAACTGGAGATTTGAGGTAAAGGTTGGAGGATGATCTGCCTCTCTGTTCCTATGTTCTTTCCAGGTTGTGTGTGTGTGTGTGTGTGTGTGTGTGTGTGTGTGTGTGTGTGTGTTTTGTTGAGACAGGGTTTTACTATGTAGCTCTGGCAGATCTGGAACTATGTAGATCAGGCTGACCTTGAACTCACAGAAATCTGCCTACCTCTGCTTCCCAAGCACTGGAGCACTGGGATTAAAGGCATCGACCTTTTTTTTTTTCACTCCTGATCCTTTATTATTTATTTTTCTTTTCTTCTTCCTCAACATCATCATGCTGGAGATGAACTCCAGTGCCTGGAACATGTTAAGCAAGTGCTCTATAGTCCCAGCTCACATTCTCTTCCTCCTTCTCCTTAGTGATTTCTTTTTTTAAATTTTTTAAGTTCTTTTAAAAATGTTTGTTTTCAGCGGGGCGTAGTGGCACAAGCCTTTAATCCCAGCACTTGGGAGGCAGAGGCAGGTGGATCTCTGTGAGTTCGAGGCCATCCTGGTCTCCATAGGGATTCCAGCCCACCTGTGGCTACAGGGAGACCCTGTCTCAAAAAGACAAAAAAAAAGCCAGGCCTAGTGGCACAGGCCTGTAGCCCCAGCACTCGGAAGGCAGAGGTAGTCGAATCTCTGTGAGTTCAAGGCCAGCCTGGTCTCCATAGTGAGTTCCAGGCCACCTGGGGCTGCAGGGAGACTTTGTCTCAAAAAAGACCAAAAAAAAAAAAGTTTATTTTCATTTATTAATATAAATGTTTTGCCTGTATGTATGTAAGTGCACCCATGTCAGGCAATGCCCTCAGAGGCCAGAAGAGGGCATAGGATCTCCTGGAACTGGAGTTATGGACGATTGTTAGTCACCACATGAGTACTGGGAGCCGAACATGGGTTCTCTGCAAGAGCAGCTGAGCCATCTCTCCAGCCCCCCACATTCTTCATTTTTAACAGTATTTTCTTCACTCTTAGCAAAGTTTCATCTCCTCTTCCTATATGACTCATTAGTCATAGTCAACAAACTTTTTTCCTTTGGTTTCTTGAGCAGCCCAACTTTTTTTTCCCTTGAGACACGGTGTCAGTATGTAGTTCAGTCTGGTCTTGAACTTGCCATCCTTCCTCAGGCTCCAACGTGCTGGGATTACTGGTGTATGCTACCACTCCTGACTTCAACAAACAAATTTTTTTTAAATTTTTATTATTTTTTAAAAATTTTATTTATTATTTTATTTTATGTGTATACATGTATTGCCTGCATGTAGGTAAGTGCACCCGTGTCGTGCAATGCCTGAGGAGGTCAGAAGAGGCTGTCAGATCCCCTGGGACTGGAGTTATGGACAATTGTTAGCTGTCATGTGGGTGCTGGGATTCAAACAGGGGTCTTCTGTAAGAACAACCAGTTTTCTTAACCGCTGAGCCATCTCTCCAGCCCCAATTTTTATTATTTTTATGTGTGTGTATTGCCTGCATGTAGGTAAGTGCACCCGTGTCGTGCAATGCCCTTGGAGGACAGAAGAGGCCGTCTGGAGTTACAGACAGTTGTTAGCTGCCACGTGGGTGCTGGGATTTGAACCCGGGCCTTCTGTAAGAACAGCCAGTGTTCTCAACCGCTGAGCCATCTCTCCAGCCCCACTTAAAAATTTTTTGAAAACGCATTCATTTTTATGTGTATGAGTGTTTTGCCTGCATGTATATGTGCGCCTATGTCATGCAGTGCCTTTGGAGGCCAGAAGAGGGCACGGGTGTTGGGTCCCCTAGAATGGAATTACACAGTTGTGGGTGCTGGGAACTGAACCCTGGTCCTCTGCAAGAGCAGCCAGTGCTGAACCAGTTCTCCAGCCCATAACAAACATTTTTGAAGACCTCCTCATACCAGATCCCGTTTTTAGTTCTGCAGGATAAGCAAAAACATAGCCCTGTTTAGGGACTGAATCAAGTAGTAGATGTATGTAAAGTTTCTCAACTCTCAGCCACCCTAAACAAAGACACTATTTTCCTAACAACTCTTCCAATCAGTCCTTATATAAAATTAAAGCCACTTTTTTTTTTTTTTCTTTTGTTTTGGTCTTTTTGAGACAGGGTCTCCCTGTAGCTCCAGCTGTCCTGGAACTTACTATGTAGATCAGGCTGGCTGTGAACTCACAGAGATCTGCCTGCCTCTGCCTCCCGAGTGCTGGGATTAAAGGCATGTGCCACCAACGCCTGGCTTTTTTCTTTTTGTCTTTTTGAGACAAGGTCTCCCTGTAATCCCAGCTGACCTGAACTCACTATGTAGACCAGGCTGGCCTTGAACTCACAAGGATCCACTTGCTTCTGCCTCCCGAGTGCTGGGATTAAAGGCATGCACCACCACGCCCAGCTAAAGACACTTTTTAAATTTAAAATATTTTATTATTTTTGTTTGTATGAGTGTATTGCCTGCATGTATGTAAGTGCAGATGTAAAGACACTCTTTTAAAGGTTTTTGTTTTGTTTTGCTTTGAGACAGGATTTCATCTCATAGAGTTCCACCTGCCTCTGTCTCCCAAGCGAATTAAAGATGCCACCATGCCCCTTTAAGGTATAGTTTTGAACTTTAAGGTGAAGTGTGAGGTTATTTCTCTAATAACGAATAAGGGAATCAGTCTTACTCTAGCCATTTTGTGTCTTCTTTAGAATCTGATCTCCATCATACCCCATCAGTTGTTGGTGGGGGTGGGAGAGGAAAGGCAGAGAAACATCTGAGGAGGAGGCCCTAATGCCTATTATGGTTCCAGGTGCTCATCTCTTTCATCAACCACATCATAAAAATCAGAAAGAAAGAAACCGCAGTGAACAAAGGAAAAAGGAAAAAACAACAGCTTGTTCTTCAGGCCTCTTCTTTCCTTTCTTCCTCCTCAGGGTGGAGGTACACATCCGGGGCCCCTGGGCAAGGTACTAAGCTGGTCTGCCAAGCAGACAATTGAGTTTCACTTCCTGCCAACGCCAGAGATGGGGCAGAATGTCTAGGGGTAACAATGGTGGGGGGTGTCTAAGGTTAGGTAGGAAAACCCTCTTACAGAGCAGGTCCATTCAGTTACAGAGACCACTCTTCAGCTGAGAGTCATGCACCTCACGAGTTTTTAGAGACGCCATCCCATATTCTTATTTCTTATTAGTTCCACTTTTAAGAAAAGGGTACTGGATTGGCAAGGCTGAGGTACAATTGATGGAAAAAAGTGCAGGTGTGGGCTGGGGTGTATTGGAGTGCTTAACTAGCATGTGTTAGGCTCCAAGTTCAATTAAACCACCACCACCAAGCAAAAAAAAAGGTGCGGGGGAGGCAGTGTTAGAACGCAGTAACTGTATACTGCATGCAAATAGTTTTTAAGTGATTTTGAGACCTAACTGGGCCCCAGGTAGAAATCAGAGGGCTCGGAGAACTAGGCAATGTGTGGGCTTGAGAAAACTTCTGAGTTTTCAATTGTTTAAGGTCAGCCCGATTTTGCTCGTTTTTTCTTAGTCTTAATGGGGACACGGTGCCTAGTGTTAATCACTAATATTTCCTCTTTCTCCCAGATTCCCGAGGCACTGTTGGACGTTCATCTAACCCAGAGTGGAGCAACAGAGAAGGTGAAAAGGGTTAAAGGAATAGCTATGTGGGGGAAGGAGGGCAGAGTCGACACCAAAGGAGATCCTCCAGCTTGGCGCCTTCCAGGCTGTAGAGGAAACAAGTTTAACAGGGCTGAGCCCCGAAGGAACAACAGTCGCTGGTGGAGCGCCGTGTATGTCAGACGGGCACCAGGCAGGGCACAAGCTACAAGATAGTGACCACACGGGTCGCGATTATTGGACGAGCGCTCCCGGGACACTGGGGCGAGGCTAATTAGCATACAATCTGGGTCCGCCCAGCCGCCTTCACCTCGTGCCCTCTGACCTCGCGGCCTGAGGCTGCTCTACTGCGGGCGGCGAGTCTCTGCGGGGCGGAAGCCGGGCTGCCCCCGGCAGATGGGGCCGGGGCTGCGCACCCCTCTCCGCCATGGAAAGCGCCGGCACCCCTGCGGCTCCTGGCACAGGTGACCCACCCGCGGCGCTCCGCTCGCCGTGCGCCCCTTCCGAGCCCTCGGTCTGCGGTGAAGCTGGGCGAGGCAACCGGCACGTGAAGCCACTGCCCCCCTTCGTGTCCGTGGGGGTTCTCCCTCTGGTCCCCAGCTACATTCGTGCGCCCCCGTGTGTCCTGGGGACTTTGCTGCCCCAAGTCAACACGGGGTCTGGGTGCAGGCCAGGGCCTAGAAGGTTTCTGTCCTTCTACCAGCCATCTCGGATGCGGGTGAGGGCTGTCCCGGCCAGCACTGAGTTGGAGCGTCTCTCCGAGCGCAGACGGCTATTTTACATACATTAGGCGCTCAGTAAGAGTCCACGGTCTTGTAGACTGTGACAAGCTCTTCCCTCCCTTTTCCGTCTTCCCCACCAATGAAATGGTGCAGTCTCCCTTTAAGACTAAAATGGTGGCTTGCTATGATGAGACTCCACTTCCGGTGGGGAGGGGGCGGGACCCCAGCCGGAAGTGGTTCGCATTCTCAAGATGGCGACTCCCTATGTAACTGACGAGACCGGCGGTGAGTACGGGAATCGCGGAGCCGCTTCTCCCGGGGTTTTCGGGGTCGAGGTTCGGACTTGGAAAAGGGTCTGGGCCCCGCCTATCCCGGGGACCCTCCTTTGCCCCACCCCCCGGACCGCCTTCTCCATTCATTCTCTCCTAGGGATGTCACCTGCGCCCCCTTCTGGTCTCGTATTTAGGGGGTCTCAGCTTCCGGTCTCCCAAACCTTGGGGTCTTTCAATGCTCCCTGATCCAGGAACCTTAGGAACCTCAGCTTTCCTTTAGCTGTTCGAGTTTCATACCTCTGTAGGGTTTTCCAGCATTCCGGGCTTCTACACCGTCAGTTCCCTCCAATTCCAACCCCGCTTTTTTTCCCCTCCCCATCTTTTAGTTATACCTGTTTTCTGCCCTAGTCTTGTTTTCGTTCTTTTTCTCTGCGCTAAATCTGCTGAAGATCTCCTGATTGCTACTTAGTGCTTTTCCCACTCTTTTTTCCCCCATCTTCATTTGTTGGGGGGAAGGGAAGAGGAACTTAACTGTGAAGTTTTCTCATTGATGGAGTTGTCTGTCTTGTGATGATCATGGGATTAAGGGGTCTAGGGAGAGAGGAAACAAACAGGAAAGTGTCTACTGGCCTTTCTCCCGACCTCTTTGACAGTTGATAGAACCCGTTATTCCTTAGGGCTTGAGAAGAATTTCGTTTGAGTTATCTGAGATGCTGAAGTTTGCTGTGTGAGAAAGGGAGAATCAGTTTTCTTACTCTAATTGCCTTGTCCTTCGAAAAACACAATATTGACCTAGTGATGATCAAATAAATATGTGAAGGTAGTTTGTAAAATGCTGTTCAAGTGCCTGGTGACTTATTTTTTTGTCTCTCTATGTAGTCTTCATGTGTAGTCACTGGTCTATATGTCTAGTGTTTGTAAAAGTGATACTGTGAGTGTGCAGTGTTTGCAGTGTGTTTTAAAATGTGCCGTGTATGCTTCTTGTTCTACTTTACATGTTTCTTATACCTCAGCCTTCCTACCTTGGTACCTAATGAAAACTCAGTTTTCTGCTACTTCTCCTCAGCCTCACATTTCACAGTGCTGCAACATCTTTCCTTATGCTCTCTACTCAGTAGGTCTTTAGCAGAAAAAAAAAAATTATTATTTTGGGGGCTGGGTCTCTATATAGCCCCTGCTGGCCCATCTTTGCCACTTTCCCTTTAGTCTTCCTTTTGTAGCAAATAATCTCAGTTTCTATTTCACTGAAAAATCCAGGCCTGACATTTCTCTTCTCAGTTACAGCCCAATATCATCTCTGTCTCTGTCTCTCTCTCTTTCTCTTTGTCTCTTCCTTCCTCCCTCCTCTTCTCCCTCCTTCCCTCTATTCCCCTTTCCCCCAAAGTTTCACTATGTGGCAGGCCAGTAGTGGCACACACTGCCAGCAGGATATGCTGAAGAAGCAGAGCAAGAATCCCAAGCTGTATCTTGAGGGGCATGGGGATGCCACCTTTATTCTCAGCTCTTGGGAGGAAGAGGCAGGCAGATCTCTGTGAGTTCCAGGCCAGCTAGAGCTACATAGTGAGAAAATTCATGGCAGTTCACCTGCTTCACCTTCTTGAGCACTGGGATTATAGGCACGCACCACCATGCTCAAAACCAGATTTTTTTTTTGGTTTTTTTTTGGTCTTTTTGAGATAGGGTCTCCCTGTAGCTGTAGCTGACCTGGAACTCCCTATGTAGACCAGGCTGGCCTTCAACTCACAGAAATCTACCTGCCTTTGCTTCCCGAGTGCTGAAACTAAAGGTGTGCACTACTGTGCCCGGCTTGCAGCCAGATTTATTGAGTAGCAGGTCTGTACCAACTGTTTCCTCATTGCTTAATTTGTTCCTTAATCTTAGTCATTACTCCTAGCACTCTCTGACTTAGGTCACTTATGCTTTTTGTTTTCTAGTTGATTGGTGAAAGTGTTTCTTTCTTGGATAGTGTGTCATATCTCAAACTGAACTTTTCTAATCGGAACTTTCCATCATTTCACCCTTTTCTAGCCAATTCAAATTTTTGCATCATTTCTCTTATTAAGACGTTAAATAGATTTTATTCTACAACAGTGGAGTGGTATAAATTTTTTCCAGACGGTTTTAGATTTTTAGAAAAATTGAGATGTTACAAAGAATTACTGTGTATCCTATGTCCTTTCCTAACATCTTACATTAATAAAGTATATTTCTTATAGTTAATGAGTTAGTATCAATACACTTTTATTAACTAAAGTCAATGTGTTATTCAAGCCAGGCATGATGGCTCACACCTGTATTCCCAGCACTTGGGAGGCAGAGACAGGAGAATTGCTTCAAGTTTGAGGCCAGCCAAGGCTGCATAGACCTTGTCTCAAAAAGTAAGCAAACAAATGTTATTCAAACTTTCTTAGTTTTTGCTTATTTTTTTCTGATCCAGGATCTCGTCTAGCTTACCACATTACACGTAGTTCTCATGTCTCCTTAATGACAGTTTCTCAGACTTGTCTTTGATTACCTTGACAGCTTGGGATATGAATGTGTCTGCTATGTGTGTGCGATGTATGGGCACGTATGTGCCATTCATGAGTACGAGGCTGGAGAAGGCCATCCAGTATCCTTTTCTGTCATTCTTAGCCATATTCCCTCAGGACAGGGTCCCACCGAACCTGAAGCCAGGACTGCAGCCAGCAAGCCTGAGCAGTCTGCCTGTTTCCACCTCCACAGTGTGGAGTTACAAGTGTGTGTCGTCACACCTGGCTTTTTACATGGGTGCTGGGAATGCAAACTCAAGGCTTCTTCCATGGCAAGTGCTTTTACAACCACTGAACCATTCCACCCCTACCTCCCACCCCCACTTCATGACAGTTTTTAACAATGCTAGGCATGTATTTTATATTTTGTAGACTGCTCCTCTATTAGAATTAGTGTATTACACCCCCACACCCGTACTCTCTTGTGTCTCATTTTTTATATCTACCTTAGGTTGGCCTTGAACTCGCTGTACAGGCAGATCCTTCTTTCCGCAGCCTCCTGGGTAGTGGGATTCCAGGCATGTGTCACTGTGCCCAGCAGCCTGATGTTTTGCTCATGATTAAATTTGGGTTAGGTGTTTTGGGAAAGAAGACTGTAGAGATAAAGTGACATTTTCAACCTTGGGTACGTAAGATCACCCTGGTTTTCATTTTCATTTATTTTTACTGTGGGTAGTGACAAGAGTTACCTGTCTGAGATAGTGTTTATAAGGCCTTTCCACTCTAAAGGTTTACCCTTCCCCTTTCTATACTGTACTCAGTGGTGGCAGTCACTTTTGAACCACACAAATAGTGACGTTAGGCTTTCCTCTTTCTTTTTTGTCTTTTGAGACAGCTGACCTGGAACTAATTATGTAATCTCACAGAGGTCTGCCTGCCTCTGCCTCCCAAGTGCTGGGACTACAGGCATGCGCCACCACGCCCAGCTTGAATATTTTTTTAATATTTTATTTCTATAAGTGTGTTGCCTGCATGTATGTAAGTGTACCCGTGTCATGTAATGCCCACAGAGGTCAGAAGAAGGCATCAGATTCCCCTGGAACTGGAGTTATGGATGGTTGTTAGCTGCCATGTAGGTGCTGGGAATCGAACCCCAGTCCTCTCTAAGAATAGTCAGTGCACTTAACTGCTGAGCCATCTCTCCAGCCCAATTTATTTAAATCAGTTTTATTTAAGAATTTCCAATAGGGCCAGGCGTGGTTGCGCACGCCTTTAATCCTAGCACTTGGGAGGCAGAGGCAGGCGGATCTCTGTGAGTTCAAGGTCAGCCTGGTCTACATAGTGTGTTCCAGGACAGCTGGGGCTACAGGGAGACCCTGTCTCAAAAAGACCAAACAAACAAAAAGAATTTCCAATAATGACAGCATATAAAAAGCATCCAAGCACAGGACACAACTGCAGCAAACAGCATTCTTATGGGTAGCTAACAGACATGAGAACTCCACCCTTCTTTGAGACACCTGAGCTCACTGGTGAACTATGTGTCCAAGTTCCGAAAAGCACACCACAAGCTCATTCCATGTTCTCAGGCCACAGCTTCAGGTCACCTTCCGCTCTTACAGATCAGTAACAGAAGGGAACACACCATATACCATTCACAGCAGTTGACAGAGGGGGAGAGGAAGCACAAGTATCATTTCACTTAACATTCAACTAAAGTGAGTTTTTAAAATTATTTTTTAATATTTTATTTATTATTATGAATTTATGTGTATGAGCGTATTGCCTGCATGTGTGTGAGTGCACCCATGTCATGCAATGCCATGGAGGTCAGAAGAGGGCATCAGATTCCCCTGGAACTGGAGTTAAGGACAGTTCATAGCTGCCATGTGGGTGCTGGGAATTGAACCCGGGTCCTCTGCAAGAGCAGTCAGTACTCTTAACCGCTGAGCCATCTCTCCAGCCCTTCTTTTATTATTTTTTAAAAATATTTTATTTA